TGATCAGCACAGACCTGAGCACCACGGCTGGATTTCAGGATGTTACAGAAAGTCCCTGCACAGGCTGCCCTTGTGTGAGAACACATCAGGGTGCAAGCGGGTTGGCACAGGTGTCAGGAAGGATTTGGTCACCTCCTTGAAGACAGCTCCTGACAGCACGCCCTCCCTATCCGTCCCAGCCCTGCTTTCTGCGCCTTTTGCTGACGCTCACAGACCAGCCGATGTCCCAGGGGGCTCGTGAATGCTAACTAAGGCTTTCCTATTATCTCACCAGGGCTTTTTTCCCAACAAGACAGGCTTTGGCAGACTGTCAAGGCTGTCAGCTCCCCATGGCCCCAATACTCACCGCAGTGCTGCTCGTCCGAGGTGTCGGAGCAGTCGTTGATGCCATCGCAGTGTTTGCTGGTTGGGATGCAAGTGCCGTTTGGGCACTGGAAACCATTGCACTTTTTTTCTGAAATCCAGAAATAGGTGGATATTGTGTGGGTTTTTTAAAGCTGCCTTTAGTTAGCTCCAAAAAGCCATGGCACAGCCCCAGTTGCCCTCTCCCTGGGTCTGCCTGCTTTTGGAGGGATGGCAATCATCCCCCTGCGTTTGCTGCAGGTTTGTCTCCGTGAGGTTGCAGCAATCCCCCCCTGTCCCGCAGCAGAGTCCCCTCCGCACGCAGCGCACGTTACCGCAGTTGGCAGGGTCCTCGTCGGAGCCGTCCTGGCAGTCGGCGTCACCGTCGCAGGCCCAGCGCTGCGGGATGCAGTGGCCGTTCTGGCACTGGAAGCTGGATGCCTCGCAGGTGTGATATACTGCTGAAACCAGAGCGGGGGGACCGCCTGAGCGCAGGGTGTCACCACCTCCCCGCTGCCCTGCCGCCTGCGCCAGGGCGTTACGCCGTGGCAGGTCCCAGCACCGAGCGTGGCTCCGGGGCACAAGTGACCATCCCGTGGGCCCTGGGCAAGAGCCTGCCGGGCGTCCGGGCTCTCCTGGGTCACACCATGATCTTTTCCTCTCTGTGCTGTCATTGCTCGCCAGCCTGGCGTGCCTCAGGGATGGCTTTGAGAGGCTAGTGAGCCCTCCTAAAGCTCCCCAAAGTCAGGAGCCTCTTTTGCTTTGATCTCAGTCCTTGGTGTGTGTGGGCAAAGGTGGCATCTTGGCAGAGACGGCAAAAAATGTCACTGTAAGCAAGCAAGTCTTGATGGGGCACAGGGTCCCCATGCAGGGCAGGACAGACTGGGAAACAGCCCTGAATTAAGGCAGGCAAGGCTTTTTTTTTTTTTTTTTTTTTTCTTTTTTTCCAAAGCAGATTAGAAATACAATTCTCCTTGGGTTTCCCAGGGAGCAGGGCCCTGGCTTTCCTTAGGCTCCTGTCACAAAAACATCTGCCTGTGGGGTATCTTGGTTGAAGCCTAGTCTATGCTGTCACTTTAGAGACAAATATCACTCTTCAAACAGGAGAGCACTCGTCGTTATTGAGAAGAAAAGCAATGTTCAACTTAATTAAATTGCATGCTACTGAAATTTAGGTTAGCGAGTGACATGCACTTGCAGATATTTCAAAATACAAAATCTTGGGTCAGTAATATTCTATTAGGCATTCAGCGTGAAATGTAATTATTTTAGATAAGAGCAATAACTGGAGCTGGTGCAGTCTGATGAACTATTTCTCAAATAATTGTGATCCTCGTGGATAATTTCAACTTTAGGCTTTACACACCTGATACGCTTTTTGAAGTAGGTTCCTTTCCTGTAGCAATTCTCTTTGGAGAAACTCATATGAGAGATAAGTGATACCAATATAAATTAAACCTTCTTATACAGCCACGCACTCTGAATACTAACGCCCAGGATCCCCGTATGCTGCAGGAGACCAGTACATCGTTATCTGTTGGCTTTTCTAATGAGGAAAGGGCTCTATCTGGGTGGTAACTTTAGGATACTGCTGAGGGACATCAGTTTTACACCGTCACTTGATTGTAGAGAAGCTGCAAAGAACATGCCTGTTTTCTGCAATGTATTTAATGGCAAGAAAACAGAGTTCAAGCTGTGAAATGCGATCAGTGCACACCGGCTTGTTCGCTGCCTCCGTGCAACAAGGGAGCCCTTTTTGCGCAGAAGCATCCTCTGCCTTCCTATCAGCCACAGACCTGCTTCCCCATCCAATGGTGCCCATCCACTGCCAGCTGGTCCGCAGAAGGTGGATGACCTTGTGGCCACCGCAGCAATGCACGCCTGTTGGTGCAGTGTTGCAAGTAACAAGCAAAGCTGAATCATTGTGAGAGCATCGCAAAGCGGTCAGCACATTCACAGGCCTGTTGAAGGCAATGGAGGAAAGAAAACCTTTGCTTTTGGAGGATTACATCTCCCTGAGCTGCAGGCTGCCTTGCTGCCCCGCTGAGGCACAAGATGTTGGCTGATGTCTTACAGCACCTGAGGCTGCAAGTAATGAGCGATTGCAACAGAAGGTTATTGATCACATCAAAGTGCTTACCAGTGCAGTTCGCTTCATCGGACCAGTCCCTGCAGTCGTTATCACCATCACACATCCAGGAAAGACGGATGCACATCCCCGAGCTGCAGCTGAATTCATCGTTTCTGCACTGGTGAGCTTCTGCAAATAAGCACGCACAGTTCAGATGCTGTCAGGGCCAGGGGAGAGAAGGAGGCAAACTTCATGTGGGCTATTGACCGAGGCAAGGAGGCTGATATCACAGAGGTGATAGCCTACACACCCCTGTAAAACAGACTTGTCTTAAAAGCATGTTTTCCTGCCTCATCCCTAGCCCTGAACGACCAAGAGCTACCGCCTTGCTGTTTAGCAGCCTCTTCTCGCCTTCAATTCAGCACTCCACCTTTCCCAATTGCTAAGCTGGAGGTGGATGGCCACAAACATGACAACACCAAATGCTTGCACAGGGACAGAGAAGGGTGGGTTGAGGGAGGGCACTCACTGCAGTGACTTTCATCGCTGTTGTCCCCACAGTCGTCCTCCAGGTCACATTTGTAGGACAGTGGGATGCAGGTCCCCGAGCCCTGGCAGCGGAACTGGGTCTCAGCATCGCACACGGTGGTGGCTAATGCGGTGAAGAGGAGGAAAATGTGGTTGAGGTTACGGTTAGACAACACTTCATGCCACCCAAGCACGTGCACTTAGTGCAGGGAATTGAGGGGAGAGGGACAGCATCCTGCAAGCTTTGCTCAAGGCAGCCTGAGCTACTGAAACTGTATTTTATTCTCATTATTAGGCACCCCACAAAAAGCAGAGCAGGGCGGTGTTAGCTCTCTGCCCAGTGATCAGCACCTCTTGCTCTCCGTAACTGTGATGGGAGCATAGACCACAGGCTCAGGTGCAATGCCGACACAGCAGACATCTAAATTTGGATGGGAGAATGCCAGCGCAGGACACTTACGGCAGTTCTTCTCATCGCTCATGTCCCCACAGTCATTGTCGTTGTCACACCGCCAAGTGCTGTTTATGCAGTTCCCATTCAAGCATCTGTACTGGTTGGGCAGACACGTGTTTTCTGGTGCAAAGGGGAAAACAAAACCAAGCTGGCACGAGGCATGACGCTGCGCTTTCAGATGACATGCCATACTCCTCCTCGCCCAAAGGGCAGCAAGAAGGTCCTGCCGACCTCTCACAACAGCAGAAACCTCCTTCAACATAAAGCAGCAGCAAGAACCGAGTGTGGTTTTACCTTCCTTCATGCAAGTGCTGTTCTTCATAACATAGCCATGAGGACAGTCGCACTTCACCTCCCCGCTGGGCAGCACGGTGCTGGACACCCCCTCGGGGCACTTGCAGCTCCTGCCGTTGTTTGACTTGGGCAGGCAGAGCAGGCTGCAGGGCTTGGCGATGCAGGCGTTCTCCCCTGGCACCAGGGTGGGGAGGAAGGGGACATTGTCACGACAGAGGGCTGGAGACGCCGTGGGAAGCCCCATTTCACCTGCCATTTTTTTGGCCCATCCAGCACTTTGCATGCAAAGGCTGCGGTCTGTGACCTAAATAATGAGGTGCCACCACAGACCAGTGCCCTGTGGGCTCCCTCCCTGATGGGGAGCATATCTCTTGGCAGCTCAGAAGTCAGGAGCATCGCTAATGAAACACATTCCTTACAACAGCGCCTGAGTGCTTTGAACCCTGCAGGAATGGGGAATATTCAGGGTCGTGAAATGTAAGGCGGGCTGGCCTGGTGGCCTGGGAACCTGTGGGGGATGAACACATTTCTAAATGGCAGGAAAGATCATCTGCGCACTCACGCAATTACCTGTCGTTTTTCCTCTGTAAAAGATTTTCATATCCATGATCCCATTTAATCGGCTGACTAAGATCTCCATTCTCGAGCCGCTGGTTTTGGATGCTCTGAAAATACTCAGCTGTGACCAGTCATTCCAGTAGATTTCATTCTGAAACACAGGCTTTGGTCTTAGCACGAGGAGCAGTGCTGCCATCATCAGCGGTTATCTGCACTAAGCCACCCTAAGCTCCTGGATGTGCAGGGCAATCGAGAGTACAAAGCCTCCCCAACCCAAGGGGGGAATATGAGGAAGACCTGAGCTGGGATTTGAGCAGGAACAGAAGTGGCAGTCACACCTGCTGAGTGGCAAACTGTCTGGAGAAGATAGCACAGTGCAGCTGCTTGGGAAAGCTGCACGTCTCTGGGATGTTGGTCCTGGTTTCAACTGCACCTGCCTGCTCTTATCAGGGGTGCACGGGAACATACCAGGAGCAGGAATAGAGCAAGCATCAGGCCAGCTCCTGCCCTCTGAATCCAGCGCGCTCCGTGCCCTTCTGCCGCCCGCCCCATACGTGCAACAACCTCCAAGCGTGTATGCTATGGAAATGCATACCGATGGGGAACGAGCCGCCACATACGTACCTTAAATACAGCAATAGCGTAGGGGTGAGGGAGGCTGTCCAGGATCACAGATCTCTGCACCCCATTGAAGTCGACCCTCTCAATCCTGTCCATATAGGCTTCGGTCCAGTAGATCCAGTGGTCATCCACAGAAATGCCGTTTGGCCACCGCACACCCTCCGAAACAATGCATCCAGCCGATGACCCGTCCATGTCGCTTCTGTAAATGCCAGCTCTGGAGTTTCCCCAGTCTGTCCAGAACATCAACCTGACAACAGGCAGAGAGGTTACTGGAAGTAATAACAAAACAGCTCATCAAAAGGAACCAGCTTATGAAGCAGAGGTTTGAATACTTTACATTCCATGTCTCTTGCAAGACATGCCTTTGGAAAGAGAGCTCTTTGCAATTCTAATGAACACCACCGGCAGATCTAAAAGCAGCAGAGAGGCTTATTTAGCTGCAGGTTCCGTGGTGTGAGTGCAGCTGAAGGTTACTGTCCCGGTTTCAGCTGAGACAGAGTTAACTTTCTTCAGAGTAACTAGTGTGAGGCTGTGTTTTGGGTTTGTGCTGAGAAGGCTGATCACATTCTGATGTTTATAGCTGCTGCCAGGACAGTCAAGGACTTTTCAGCTTCTCTGCTATGCTAGTGTCTGCAGCTACAGAAGCTGGGAGGGAGCACAGCCCCAATTACTGGCTTAGGATTTGACCTTAGGTTTAGGACTGAGATGCAAATCGGACAATAGTCTATTCCACATCATGCAGGTCATGCCCAGTATATAGATGAGGGTCTGTCCAGAAGTGCTCTCTCTTGCTCTGGGTTGCCCCTCTCCCAGAGTCACTCATTTGTCTATTTGTATATATTA